CAATCATCTAAATTTCTTATCCTTCCTATTATCTTAGCATCATCAGCAAACATGTTCATATAATTCTGTATACCAACTGGTAGATCATTTATGTACACAATAAACATCACTGGTGCAAGAACTGAACCCTGTGGTACTCCACTTGTGACATTTCTCCATTCCGATACATTGCCTCTGATTACTGCCCTCATTTTTCTATCAGTCAGAAAAATTTTCATCCATGATAGAAGCTTACCTGTCACCCCTCCAATATTTTCCAGTTTCCAGAACAACCTCTTATGTGGAACTCTGTCGAAAGCCTTTTTTAGGTCCAGATAGATGCAGTCAACCCAACCATCTCTTTCCTGTAATATCTCTGTGGCTCGATCATAGAAACTGAGTAAATTCGATACACAGGATCTTCCAGATCGAAAACCATACTGTCTGTCTGATATTATATCATTTCTCTCTAGATGTTCTACCCATTTAGTTTTGATTAGTTTTTCCAATACTTTCACTATTACACTTGTCAATGATACAGGTCTATAATTGAGGGGGTCTTCCCTGCTGCCACTTTTGTAGATTGGAACTATGTTAGCCTATATGGTGTGGCACTTTGCTACTGTTTTTGTGCCTAGGGTTTGTGTATGGGGATTTGCTTGTTATTTTTCGTGGTCTTCGGGTCCCTGGCTTGGCCCTCTCATGTGCGTGGGGTTTTTCTGTTCCTGCCTGATTGTCCACCCCTGGTTGTTTTCCTGGGGTTTTGTGCTTCAGCTCTTTCATCCTGCCTCTCCCCAGTCGTTTTCCTGGCATCTCCTTTGGTCGGTTTTGCCTGCACTTGCTGCTGTGTTGGGGGGGGGTCGGTTTCCACTGTTTCATTTCCTTGTGCGTTCCCTTGTTTCCTCCTCTGCCACAGGGGTGTTCTGCGTGCGTTCCTTGGTTTCTTGGGCGTTTTTTCGGCCTGTATCCTCTGGTGTGCTGCTTTGTCTTGGTCTGTTGCAGTTGCTCGTACCCCTTGGTTTGGGTACTGTTTCTGCCGGCAACCCTTCCACCTTCTTCGGTTTCCATGCTTATCCTGCCGGTTGGTTTTTCGGGGTCTTGCGATGTCTCGCGTCGGACCCATTGTTTCTGAACTCCTGGCGGGCTTGCTTGCTTTGGGGAGTTTTTCTGTTCGGCAGACGTTCCATCTCCTTGTGCCGCCTGGGTTTCGGTGGTCGCGCCCAAGATCTTCCCGCGGCTCCGCCTTTTCCTGGGCTTGAAGGGGCCTTGTCGGGGCTTCTTACGTTCTGCCTCGCGGTCTTGCCTCCGGTTGGTGGTCGGGTGGCTTTGTGGTAGGTGTCCCACCTGCGTACTTCTCTTGGCAGCAGTATGGGGTATTTTGGCAGTCCTTCCTTTTCCTGTCCCTTCTTAGGTGGCTACTCTTGTTAGCATCGGCTAGGTTTTCTGGTGGGGGTTGGGGGCCGTCATCTTGCCACATACAGTACTGTCGCTTCTTTTCGTGCAGCGCTGGCGGAGCCGCTTCGGCTTGCTTTCGGTCTTGGTGTTGCTTCTGCACCGTTAGTAAGCTGTCTCATGCGTTGTTTCACCTCCGGCCTGTTCGTGCGCCGCTTGCACCATCCTGGTCTCTGGTCAGCGTGCTCTGTCTTCTCCTCGGTTGGTAGTGCCCATTTGGTTCCGGTTTGTTTTTTCGTTAGCTCTTTTTCCAGTTGGCATTTGCCTCTGGGGGTTGGGTCGCTGTGTTTTCTTGCTCCTTCGGTTTTAGCGTTTTGGTTGTTCAGTGGCAGCAGTCTCCATCTTTTCTGGCGTGGGGTGGGGCTGCTGCATTCTGGAGGGGTCCTTGGTTTGTTGGTGCTTGGTTGGTTGGGCCGGGGGTGTGTCGTGTTTTGTGTTCAGTGGCGGCCCTCCACTGTTGTTGGCGTGCCACGGCATCTGTGTCCGGGGAGCGTTTTACGTTGATCCGGTTCTGTTCTTCCCGGTTCGCGAGTGATGGTGTCCCGGGTTGTCAGCCGTGTTCTTGTGGCTACGCTGCCTGTGTTCTTCCCTCATGCCCGTGGCATTCGTGGCTTCGCTGCTCTCGCTGCCGTCTGAGCGACGTGTCCTTGCGGTCGTTTGGGCATGGATCTTTGGATCTTTGGTGTTCGTACGGGGGCCTTGCTGCTCGTTGTTCTTGTGTTGTTCCCAGGACTTTTCGGGGCTGTGGCGCCTTGGGTTGGCGTTTGCTGCCGGTTGTCTTGCTTCCGTGAGGGGTGCGTGGTGTCCGCCTCCCGGTTCTGTCCCTTTGACCTTCCTCTGTGGGTAGTTAGCTCCAGGGTGCCAATGGGGCTCCCCTCAGAAAACCAGCGTTGAATGTAATGAAACGCCATTTTCTGGGTGAGACCCGGAGGCTCTCCGGCAACCCTCCCTCCCTCCGGTTGGCGGTTTTAGTGTGTTTTGACATCCAGCCTCAGAACTGATGGGTGGATAGCCAGCGTGGGAGGTCTGGGGCTCCCCCTTCCCCCTCCTGGGGAGGGGGGAGCTGCGCAGACAGCGGCGCGGTGACGTGTGATGTCATACTAGTTTGCTTGTTTTCTGTTGGGGAGTTCTATCCACTAGTTCGGCTTTAGGTAGCAATTTTAACCAGAATAGGAGTTTGTTTTGGAATGCTTACCTTTCTGGATGCTTGACCCGGTCGATGGTAGACATAGAATGCTTCCAACCACAAAGGGGGTTTCTATAGGCCATTGCTCCCCTTGCCTCTCTGAGGGGGCCAGGTTCTGGCCGTGGTCCCTGGTAGGCCCTAGAACTCCATACACATGACTGATGCCAAAGTCTGACATTAGCATATCAGCCTGGTAAAGCTCTGGGGAGCCTCCGGGTCTCACCCAGAAAATGGCGTTTCATTACATTCAACGCTGGTTATTTAACTGTAGCTACAGGATGAGAGCTACGCTCGTGGTGTCCCATCTACCCAGCACTCTTTGTCATATAACGCTTTAAAACTACTGACGGTTTTGGCCTCCACCACCTTCTCACTAAACTTGTTCCAACCGTCTACCACTCTGTTTGCATAAGTGAATTTCCTTATAGTTCTTCGGCATCTTTGTTTATTTAGTTTAAATCTATGACCTCTTGTTCTTGAAGTTCCAGGTCTCAGGAACTCTTCCCTATCGATTTTATCAATTCCTGTTACAATTTTGTGTGTAGTGATATCAATTTTTTTCTTCTGTCTTCTAGTTTTGGCATATTTAATGCCTCTAACGTCTCCTTGTAGCTCTTGCCCTTCAGTTCTGGGAGCCACTTAGTAGCATGTCTTTGCACCTTTTCCAGTTTGTTGATGTGCTTCTTAAGATATGGGTACCACACAACCGCTGCATATTCTAGCTTTGGCCTAACAAAAGTCGTGAACAATTTCTTTAGTATTTCTCCATCAATGTATTTAAAAGCAATTCTGAAGATAGAAAGTGTGGCATAGGCTCCTCGCACAACGTTCTTTATGTGATCCTCAGGTGATAGTTTTCTATCTAAAACCACCCCTAGATCTTTTTCTTTATCAGAATTCTTTAAAGATTTCTCACATAATTTATAGGTTGTGTGGGGGTCTATGTTCTCCTATTCCACATTCCATAACATGACATTTGTTCACATTAAATTCCATTTGCCAAGTGGTGCTCCACATACTTATTTTGTCCAGGTCTTCTTGAAGGGCATGACAATCATCTAAGTTTCTTATCCTTCCTATTATTTTAGCATCATCAGCAAACATGTTCATATAATTCTGTATTCCAACTGGTAGATAATTTATGTAGATAATGAACATCACTGGTGCAAGAACTGAACCCTGTGGTACTCCACTTGTGACATTTCTCCAGTACGATACGTTGCCTCTGATTACTGCCCTCATTTTTCTATCAGTCAGAAAATTTTTCATCCATGTTAGAAGCTTGCCTGTCACCCCTCCAATATTTTCCAGTTTCCAGAACATCCTCTTATGTGGAACTCTGTCGAAAGCCTTTTTTAGGTCCAGATAGATGCAGTCAATGCAACCATCTCTTTCCTGTAAAATCTCTGTGGCTCGATCATAGAAACTGAGTTAATTCGATACACAGGATCTCCCAGATCGAAAACCATACTGTCTGTCTGATATTATATAATTTCTCTCCAGGTGTTCTACCCATTTAGTTTTTATTATTTTTTCCAATATTTTCACTATTACACTTGTCAACGATACAGGTCTATAATTGAGGGGGTCTTCCCTGCTTCCACTTTTGTAGATTGGAACAATGTTAGCCTTTTTCCACACATCTGCTACGACTCCTGTACACAGGGATGCTTGAAAGATCAGGTGAAGTGGAATGCTGAGCTCAGATGCACATTCTCTCAGAACCCATGGGGAAATTCCATCTGTGCCAACTGCTTTGTTCTTTCTCAGCTCCAAGAACATTTGTTTCACTTCATCTCTAGACACCTCTATGTGTTCTATGCTGTTCTCTAGAATTCTTATTGTGTCTGGTTCTCTGAAGATCTCATTTTGTACAAACACACTTTGGAACTTTTCATTTAATGTTTCACACATTTCCTTTTAATTTTCCGTGTATCTGTCCCCCATTTTCAACCTCTGAATTTTCAACACCTTTACCTACAGCTTGCTTTTAATGAATTTTTAGAAAAGGCCTGGATCTGATTTACATTTGTCTGCTATACCGTTCTCAAAGTTCCTCTCTGCCTCTCTCCTTACCGACGTGTAGTTGTTTCTTAACTAAGTGTGTGTGTTGTCCAAACCTGTCATAATGCTACACATGCATAATGTTGACAATATTATAATAAAGTAACAAGCTGCACTGCTCTTACAAATGTGGTGTAATTGTTAGGATGGGAAACGAAGTTCTAGACTATATACGGTTTTTAAATTATTAAATTTTGAATATTAATCATAGGCATTTTACATCTAATAAAAAAGATCTTGTGCTATTATCCATTCAAAATATTTATTAATAACAACTAATTCACTACAACCTTAATTAACAATTACCATCTTCCTGCAGGGATGTGGTTCATGCAGAAATGGAAGAAGTCAGGTTCGTTACTGCAACTGTCTCTGAAGGATCGTGTTGACATACGCCAGACTTTCCTATACAGACTCTCTCAGGTGCAAAAATTTAATGGTTTCTCATACTTCTTCATAAAGTTTAAGAAAAAGACATTCTAATTTTCTTAGTGAAGTGACTGCAGTAGGTAGACAGTGTATTGCCATGTATTACAGATGAAGTTGGAATAGATATGCATTCCATCTCTCCAGCTATGGCTAATGATGAAACTTTGATATTGGTAATTGTCATGCAGTTTTATGTGGGGGTTATGTTAACCCATGAACTGTACAGCTATTTAAAAGTACTACATTGAGGTGCACATGACTAAAAGTACATAACAAATCAAAAGGGGGAAATTGCATATGACGTTTTTATCATCAATTGCATATAATCATATGACATGATTAGAGCAGAGATAATAATGTTCATTGTCTACATAAACGACCTACCAGATGGAATACAGAATTATATGAACATGTTTGCTGATGATGCTAAGATAATAGGGAAGATAAAAAACTTAGACGATTGTCACACACTTCAAAAAGACCTGTACAAAATAAGTGTATGGAGCACCATTTGACAAATATAATTTAATGTGAATAAATGCCATATTATGGAAAGTGGAATAGGAGAACATAGACCACACACAACCTACAAATTATGTGAAAAATCTTTAAAAAATTCTGATGAAAGAGATCTAAGGGTGGTTCTAGACTGAAAACTATCATCTGACGACCACATGAAGAACATCATGCGAGGAGCCTATGCTATATCTTCCAATTTCATAATTCCTTTTAAGTACATGGATTGTGAAATAATAAATAAATTGTTCATGACCTTTGTTAGACCAAAGCTGGAATATGCAGCGACTGTACGGTGCCCATATCTTAAAAAGCACATCAAGAAACTGGAAAAGGTGCAAAGACATGCAACTAAATGGCTCCCCAAACTGAAGGACAATAGCTACAAGGAGAGGTTAAAGGCAATAAATACTGTATGCCAAGAACTGGAAGATAGAAGAAAAAACACCAGCGTTGAATGAAATGAAATGCCATTTTCTGGGTGAGCCCCGGAAGCTCCCTGGAGCTTATTGGGCTAATTTCTGTTATATTAGACCGGGACATTACCTATAGAGTTCAGACCTACCAGGGGACCTACCATCCTCCCCACAGCGGTTGGGGGTTTTTCTTATCTGCCATCGACCTGGGTTAGGCACCCAGAAAGGTAGAAACAAGTGGGGTGTGTGTGTGTAATTACCTAAGTGTAATTACCTAAGTGTAGTTACAGGATGAGAGCTACGCTCGTGGTGTCCCGTCTTCCCAGCACTCTTTGTCATATAACGCTTTGAAACTACTGACGGTCTTCGCCTCCACCACCTTCTCACTTAACTTGTTCCAACCGTCTACCACTCTATTTGCGAAGGTGAATTTTCTTATATTTCTTCGGCATCTGTGTTTAGCTAGTTTAAATCTATGACCTCTTGTTCTTGAAGTGCCAGGTCTCAGGAAATCTTCCCTTGTCGATTTTATCAATTCCTGTTACTATTTTGTATGTAGTGATCATATCACCTCTTTTTCTTCTGTCTTCTAGTTTTGGCATGTTTAATGCTTCTAACCTCTCCTCATAGCTCTTACCCTTCAGTTCTGGGAGCCACTTAGTAGCATGTCTTTGCACCTTTTCCAGTTTGTTGATGTGCTTCTTAAGATATGGGCACCACACAACAGCTGCATATTCTAGCTTTGGCCTAACAAAAGTCATGAACAATTTCTTTAGTATATCGCCATCCATGTATTTAAATGCAATTCTGAAGTTAGAAAGCATAGCATACGCTCCTTGCACAATATTCTTTATGTGGTCCTCAGGTGATAGTTTTCTATCTAGAACCACCCCTAGATCTCTTTCTTTATCAGAATTCTTTAAAGATTTCTCACATAATATATAGGTTGTGTGGGGTCTATGTTATCCTATTCCACATTCCATAACATGACATTTATTAACATTAAATTCCATTTGCCAAGTGGTGCTCCATCTACTTATTTTGTCCAGGTCTTCTTGAAGGGCATGACAATCATCTAAATTTCTTATCCTTCCTATTATCTTAGCATCATCAGCAAACATGTTCATATAATTCTGTATACCAACTGGTAGATCATTTATGTACACAATAAACATCACTGGTGCAAGAACTGAACCCTGTGGTACTCCACTTGTGACATTTCTCCATTCCGATACATTGCCTCTGATTACTGCCCTCATTTTTCTATCAGCGTGTGTGTGTGTGTGTGTGTATTTATACATATATACATTTTCTTTCGGAAAGGGTTTCGTTCCCTTTGCTGTTGATGGGGCGCTGGGGAAGCAGCTTGCTCTGTTGCCTCTCGCTTGTGGTTGTCTTCCGGCCTCTGGTGGCATCAGGCGGCTTCTCTTCCTTTGGGGGGTTCGGGGCTGGCGGGGTGGGATTCTTCCCCTGCGTTTCATCATGTCATCTTGGTGTGGCTGCGTTTGGACTTGGTCGTTCCACCCCATCCTTCCGAAGTTCCCACCTGTTCTAATGCAGACATGGGCCTTGCTGTTTTTCTGAACTTATACAGTCTGCGCCCTGCATTCTTTGCCCTCTTTGGAAGACTGTTGTCTCCGTTCAGCTTCTTTTGGGGCCGTGTGCCTGGATGGTGTCCCTGAACCTCCAGGTCACTTCTTGGCACATTCCTCTCCAGGGTTCCGGGACTGACACAGTTGGTGGTGGGGGTTCAGGCCTGCCGCTTTTGTTGCCTTTCCTAGTTTGTAATTGGCACTTAGTGTATTTACATATCTTTACCGGATCTTGGTGACCTGTCTGCATCTGCTCGGGATTCAGTTTCTGGCCTACCTCGATGACTGGCTGGTGGTTACCAGCGACTACCGTTGACTACCTCGAATGACTGACTGCTCCCAGTCGGTATGCTAGTCTGCTCGCCAGGGGTGTGGTTCTATCCAGATTGCCGGGTTCGGATTCCTGGTGATCTGGAGGCCACTCCATCTGGTTCCGCCCCGGGTCCGGACCTGGCTGGGTCTTGTTTAGGACTCTTGGACCGCTTCTTTGTCTTTCCCTCCAGAAGCGTTGCTTCGGCTGTGGTCCCGCCTTCGGCTGTTTATGAGGGGGGTCCCGGGTCACTCGGCAGTTGCTCGAGTGATTGTGCGAGAGTCTGAACTTCGCCATACTGGTCTGCCCGTTGGGTCGGGTTTAGCTTCGGCGTCTGTTCAGTTCCTTCGGGGACTCCCCTTCTAGCTCTCTCGCAATTGTTGGGTTCGTCCTCCGGGAATCTTAGGTTGGTGCTACGTCACTGGCTTCCTCTTTGGGGTTTTCGGGGTTTTGTGCCTTGGCGCCTCCCCCAAGCCTTCGCTCGATGTGTTCACGGACGGGTCATCTATCGGCTGGGGCTTTGTGGCCAGTGCTCACCAGGCCGGCTGGGGATGGTGGGGTCTGTCTGTCCATCAGGCTCACAGCACAGTTCGGGAGTTCGTGGCTATCTGGTTTGTGCTTCGAAGGGTTCGGGTCACTCGGGGCTCTCCCATCCGGCTCCATTCGAACTGTTTTTCAGTGGTTCATTGCTGGAAACACACGGATTCTCTTAGGTCCTTGACCTTTGGGGTTGGTCCCTTCGAGTGGCTCATCTGCTGATCCTCGGGGTTTGGCTAGCTGTGAGTTTCATATCCGGGGTGCCCTACGTCCTGGCAGACGGCCTGTCTCGGTTCATTCCTCTGTTCACGGTTTGGCCAGTCGTCGCCAACTCGTTTCGTTGGCTCTGCCGGATGTATGGACTCCTGGACATGGACATCTTCGCGTTGGCATGATCTTGGCGTCTCCCATTCTATGTGGCACCCTTACCCGCCTGCGAAGCGTTCACGGTTGATGCCTGCGGCATGACTGGTCGAGGTGGAGTTACCTGTTCCTCTTTTCACTGGCCCAGCTGTTGCTTCGGGTTCTGTCTCAGTTCGAGTCCTTCCCAAGGAGAGTAATCCTCGTGGTCTCTTGGTGGCCAGCCCAGCTTTGTTTTCAGACGCTGCTTGATAGGTGTCCGAACCCGGGGTGTTTCCCGCGGCACCGCTTCTTTCAGCAGGTCAGACCAGTCCTGTACATGACTGGTTCGGTCTTCTCCTCGGCTCTTCGCTCTGACACGGGTGTATCGCCATCTCTATGGTGATCAGGTGGCTTAGTTGATGGGGATCCACCTGCGAGCTTCATCTCGGCGACAGTATTACGTTCCTGGCATTTCTATTCCTCATTTTCTTGCTCTTCGTAAGTTGTCTTCTCTTTCGCATCATGTTGTCTTGTCCTTTCTTGGCATGGGATCTGTTACAACCTTCTAGGAAGCTTTTAAGGTCAGGATTGACATTACAGTTCAGCATTTTATATATATATATATATAATACACATGAGAGGATGTGTAGTGACTTAATATCTAACATATTCAGAGATTTGAGTAAGGGTACCGAGTGATTTTATCCTTCCTTTCCTTTGCGGTAGCCCCCCTTTGTGGTAGCCCCTTCGGTTTAAGATTTTTTTTCAAAGGCAGTATCCACTCGATTTAACAGCCTCTTTTATACCGATCTGCTGGTAATAACGACCGGTTTGGAAGACCGGTATCTGGAGCCTCATATACTGGTCTGGTGGTCATTTTGATATCGGCGGACCCTCACATGGCAACAGGCCACCGACCTCGAAGGCATTGAGGAAGGGATGGGAGGCAGTAATTGATGGAGAGGCATTGAGGGGGAGAGGCAGGGAGGGTGTTGGTGGTGGTGGTGTGGGAGGGAGAGTGTTGGTGGTGAGGGAGGGAGCATTGGGGGGGGGGGGTGATGGAGGGAACATTGGGCATTGAGGGGGAGAGGCAGGGAGAGTGTTGGTGGTGAGGGAGGGAGCATTGGGGGGGGGTGAGGGAAGGAACATTGGGCATTGAGGGAGAGAGGCAGGGAGAGTGTTGGTGAGGGAGGGCGCATTGGGGGTGGTGGTGAGGGAGGGAGGGATGGAGAGTGTTGGTGGTGTGGGAGGGAGAGTGTTGGGGGTGGTGGTGAGGGAGGGAGAGTGTTGGTGGTGAGGGAGGGAGAGTGTTGGTGGTGAGGGAGGGAGGGAGAGTGTTGGTGGTGAGGGAGGGAGGGAGAGTGGTGGTGGTGAGGGAGGGAGAGTGTTGGTGGTGAGGGAGGGAGAGTGTTGGTGGTGGTGGTGAGGGAGGGAGGGTGTTGTTGGTGGTGTGGGAGGGAGAGTGTTGGTGGTGGTGGTGAGGGAGGGAGGGAGGGTGTTGTTGGTGGTGTGGGAGGGAGAGTGTTGGTGGTGGTGGTGAGGGAGGGAGGGTGTTGTTGGTGGTGTGGGAGGGAGAATGTTGGTGGTGGTGGTGAGGGAAGCGGTAAGGAAGGCAAGGACTGCTGACCAGGCGATGGTTGCCAAACCTCTCACCCATACTGTATTAAAATTTTTAATCTTAGTTGTAAACTGTTTATGCCAAAATGTTAATTTTTGTATATTACTATACATTAATAATCATTAACATGATTTATAGTTTCCTATTTATTAATTAAACAAATATAGTTTTATTTATGAATTATGCAAAGTTGGTACCTGCGAGCAGGCGCTGACAGACATGTCCGCCTGTACGCCTAGCCTCAACCCTTAAGTAGCTCCCTCGACCCCGTTAGTAACTACCTCCTCCATTGCCTGCTGTTCTCATTTTATGAGGAAGGCAGTGAGGAAGGGATGGAAGACATTGAGGGAGGGATGGAAGACATTGGGGGAGGGATGGAAGGCATTGATGGAGGGATGGGAGGCATTGAGGGAGGGATGGGAGGCAGTGATGGAGGGATGGGAGGCAGTGATGGAGGGAGGTATTGATGGGGAGAGGCAGGGAGGAATAGAAGCAGTGAGGGAGGGAGGGTGGTGGTGGGGGTGTAGGAAGAGTGGGAGTGAGGGAAGAGTGGAGGTGAGGGAAGAATGGCGGTGAGGGAGGGAGGTGTTTGGTTATTATGGTTCACTTGTTGTGTGGTCCACTTGTCCACTTGTGTGATCCAACTTGTCATATGAAGGAATTACTAATTGTAACCTGTGATAGAATGAGCACTAACACAAGAACTAACTTGGAACGCAATTACACAATGAATTTTTTTCATTTTAGATATATAAAATATATCTTACCTGAATGTTACTCGAAATATTACTGACACTTCAACAACTTTGGAAATACCGGAACCCCGGAAGTAACGACCTGGGTACAGCCCCATATACGCCGTTAAATCAAGTAGATACTGTACTTTGTTGGCATTGGCCTCTGTGGGTCGGGTCGGGGAGCTTCCGGCTCTCCTCCGGTGCAGAGGTTTCTGCTCTTTTGGTGCTGGTGGTAGGTTTGTACGCTTGCAGCCTTTCTCCATGCTTCTGGTGAAGGTCGAGACGACTGCTTTCCAGGGGGGTCCTTGGGTTATTGATACTTGGTTGGTTCGGCCAGGGGTGCGACATGTGTTGCCCGGTTGCGGCTCTTTGCCGTTACCTGCGTGCCATGACTGGAGATGCACTTTGGGTTGATCCGGTTCCCCTTGTTCCTTGTTTCAGGGCTCGGGTCTCCCAGGTCGTCTGCAATTTTCTTAAGTCTGCAGTTTTCTTAAGTTAGCCTGCGGTCTATCCTTGGGCTCATTTCGGGCACAAGGATTTGAGGGGCGCACAGGTTCCTGGCCGCCGGTTCATTTGTGAGTGTGTCTGCTCCTGTGCATTCTTGTTGTCTTGGGTTGCAGGTTGCAGCCTGTTACCTCGGCTTCACGTTGCAAAGTTGTGGCGGCGTCCTCCCGGGTCAGCCCTTTCTTTTCCTTTTCTTTGGGTATGAAGCTCCAGGGAGCCGTAGGGGCGCCCCACAGAAAACCAGCATTGAATGTAATGAAACGGCATTTTCTGGGTGAGCCCCGGAGGCTCCCTGGCAACCCTCCCTCCCACCGGTCGGCATTTTTTCACATTGGTTGAAGCTTAGCTTCCGAACTGGTGCTAGGAAGCTGGCGCGGTGAGGTCCGGGGGGCCCCCCTCCCCCTCTCGGGAGGGGAGGGCTGCGCGGATGATCGGCGCAGCAGTAAAGTGGGTTGTTTGCTTGTTTCCTTGGGATTGTAGGGAGTTTCTACCTCTCTATTCGGTTTTCTGTTTTAGTTTTTTACTATGTGGAGTTTGTTTTGTTATGCCTACCATTCTGGGTGCGTAACCCCGGTTGATGGCAGATAAGTAAAACCCCAACCACAAGGGGGTTTTCAGGGCTATTGCTCCCTGAAACCTCTCTGAAGGGGCCAGGTTCTGGCACTGGTCCCTAGTAGGTCTGAACTCCTTAGCTAATGTCCCGGTCTAATATAACATACATTAGCCCGATAAGCTCCAGGGAGCCTCCTGGGGCTCACCCAGAAAATGGCATTTCATTACATTCAACGCTGTGTTTTTGTCATGATGTATTATTTTTAAATAGCTGCAATGGTTAATAGATTTACCGGTCCTCAGAGACTACCTGCTCTTGTTGTTTTTGGACCTCAGCAGTACAATGTACAGCACATTGTACTATATGGCAATGATGAAGTGAGGGAAAATAAAATTACATAGTACAGTACCTCAGGTGTATCACCATGCAGAGCTGTACAAGTTCAAATGTTCACTAATTTATTTAAATAGGTCTGGACATATTTACTATTAACCACTGCACTGCACACCTATTTTTGGCAAAAACTTCTTAGTGTAATTGTCAAGGACATATTTTTGTTTTTATAAATGTTCAGTTAAAGTTAATGTCAAAATGTTTCCAAACTTAACTATTTCCATTTCAAAACACAAAGAGTAATGAAAACATTAAAAAACATTAAAATATAGTCTAATTAAAAAAAATAGTACAACTCTCAGAGTGCCTAACTGTGCTTTGCGTAGTGCAGTTGTTAAGCATTTGAGCATAAAAATTATGCAAGAATAAATTCTGGGTTTAACTGTATGAGTAGATATATTGCATTAGGCAAGAAGGGCTGTAAATGTGATAAGAATGATATTGATGTTTGAGACAGGAAAGGTGTGTGGGGTATACTATTTATCTTTACTTCAGCCATCATTGCAATTGACTTCAATTTGAGCTTGATATACATACTGTGGGGAAAGAATGGCTTTGATATTTAGATACAACATTTCAGTAGAATAGAGGGCATGGCACATAGATTATTTTTAGTAATTACCTGTAGTTTTTAATGTTTGAATGTTCTTTGTCAGAGGTCACAGCTTCACCACTTTCGTAATGTCTTGTTGTGTGGGTCATCACAAGACAGATATGTTCCACTACATTCCGCCAGGATTGAACTCTGCCGACAGGCTATCAAAGATGCCTCCGTCATGGGTAAGGAACTATTTCAAGATATAATATCAGATTTATAAATTATAGAACCATACATGTTTGCATATAAGGAATATATTTTCATCCAACTTTTCTTTTAAAGTGATACCTATATATCTCTGTTTACCTCTTGATGATTCTGAGGATTAACGTTCCTGCAGCCTGGATTCTAACCAGGCCTTTTGGTTGAGGGTGTAGTCAACCAAGCTGTTCGATGTGGCTGCTTGCAGCCTGACATATGAGTAGCCTGATTAATCAGGTATCAATGCTGGTTTACTGAATTCCAGGTTTTAAACGTTTCTAAATTATTTAAATAATGTTGAATAATTAGTCATAACTATTATTGCCTATTGGTAGTCATATATTTTTTATTACAGTATTCCATTTTTGTGGAATTTTTAGAAAGTCTCATGCTGTACAAACTAATCAAAGTAGATCTTAATATATGGAAAAAGAATCCAATGTTGAAAGTTATGAAACACTTCTTTATGGTGGGTCCCCAGCCTACCCGGCCTACCTGGGACCTGACAGTTAAGTGGACAGCGCTTCGGATTCATAGTCCTATGGTTCCAGGTGTGATCCCCGGTGGAGGCGGAAACAAATGGGCAGAGTTTCTTTCACCCTGATGCTCCTGTTACCTAGCAGTAAATAGCTACTTGGGAGTTAGACAGCTGCTATGGGCTGCTTCCCAGGGGAATGTAACAAAAAGGAGGCCTGGTCGAGGACAGGGCCGCAGGAACACTAAGCCCCGAAATAATCTCAAGATAACCAAAATATATCCACCTGGTCCTGTATTCATCAAGCAGTTACACAAGTACTTATGAACCTTATATTTTTTCAATCTTTTGCGGCTGTTTTGAACATTTATGAATCAGTTTATGAGCATCAAAACTTCCCAGTCAAATGTTGTTATAAACTGTTTCCTAGTTCTTCGGAACTCATAAACTGTTTAATATGTAAACAAAGCCTCCAAAGATTGAGAAAAGATATACAGGTTCATAAGTACATACAGAGGAACCTCGGTTAATGAATTTAATCTGTTCTAGCAACAAGCTCGTTATGTGAAATGCTCGTCTTGCAAAAAGAATTTCCCCATTTAAAATAATGGAAATACAATTAATCCGTTCCACCCCTGAAAAACATCAATATGAAATTTTATAATGTAATAATAATAAATGTAATTATAATTGTAATTATTTGTTTTACTGTTTTCAATTGTACTTTACCTTATGAAGAGTTGTTGCTGGCTTGAGGGAGACGATCAGGAGGAGGAAAGGGGTTACGGTGGGGAAAGAGAATCAACCTCTGAATCAGGTGGTGACATTGTGGGGTTACAAATTGTAGCTACAAAACCACAAAAAAAAAACACAAATAAATGCAGAGGGCTGTTTATCCTGAGCGATAAAACAACAACACTGTTGATGGAGGCATCTGAGAATTTGCGAGAACCAGCAGGAACGCTGGGAAGCACCACGTGGTTTTCTCATTAACCGAGCGGAAGCTCGTCAATCGAGGCAAATTTTCTGCGAATAGCTCCCTCGTTACCTCAATTGCTCGTAGATGGGGCTGCTCGTCACCCGAGGTTCCTCTGTACTTGCATAACTGTTTGATAACTCCAGGTCCATGTGTACCCCACCAGATTCCAAGGAATTATGAGTGCCTACCAGAAACCAATATCAGAATCTACCCATATCCTCAACGTAGGCATAGGGAAAGTAGGGATACAAGATCACCACATTACCTTTCTGATGTGTTTTCGTCTGTAAAGTGCATCGAAGCATGCAGCTGCATGGACATCATTTCAAACCCTGATGTGAACTATGTACTGTAAAGACACGAGCTTCTAAGCCATTCCCTAGATTGCAAGCTATCAAAACCCATCCTTACTGTTTAGAGACTAAAAAGACCACTAGGGACTGCTCTATACTAATTCTAACAGCGATCCAATAATCAAACGTACCTGGAGAGACACTCTTCACTTCTAGGGGAACAAACAGGGTTAAGATAACAATGATAGTGTTACTCTCTATTTGCTAATGTTTCCCCTTGATGATGTTCTTTCTTTCTTTAGCCCTTGTGCTATGGGCTTACCCCTTTAGTTGTGCAAGACATCATATGATGCGTTGAGTGACTTGCAGTAAATTGCCCTCGGCATCATATGATGTTTCGGAGTACCACGCAAGATTTAAATGGCCCGCGGATACACGGGTTCACCACACCTTCATCAGGGCTCTTATAAACAGACTCCATTTTTTTTTTAAATCCTGGGCCAAATTCCCAAATTCCAAAAGTGTGAGGGGCCTCAGTATTGAGTGAGCAACCAAGCCTGACGCACGCAGCATGAGCTCACAGCACTGCTGTTCAGCTTGTAACCACAGCATCACCTAAAAATGCCATAATATACATGTTCTTGCTATTATTTAGCAATGATATTATTACAGAAGCCCCCCTGACTGTGATAAAACTGACCAGGGTTCTGATAATAGAAGGATTGTGGTGATATTTAGCGCTGTGCTCCATGGGGGGAGGAGTAATGCTGTTGGTGGGAGGGTGGTGGCGTCATCTTCTAACTGTGTGTGGCCACCTTTCATTGACTGTACTCACCATACCAGCTTATTGGTTTGCTATTGTGAACACAAATGTAGATACTTATATATAACGTGTGTATAGAGGGTATAAACAACAATAGGAATAGGTTGAGAACCGCCATTTTGGCGAGGAAGGTGCGTCGTCTGCACGACTTATCATGTTGTTTACTGGTGACCACTATGGTCTTTGGGCACCATACCAGTTTACTTGCACAAGTATGGTGAATAAAACAGGTAGATACTTATATATATTGTGTGTATATAGTGTAATAACACCACAAACAGTATTGTTGGAGGAGAAATATTAGTGCGTCTAGCCTTGAGGGCGGCTGCCACCAGCTGACTGTGTGAGTAGCTATGTCTTTGTGCCTTTACTCACCATACAAACTTAGATGTACAGTAATGGTGAACAAAACATGTAAATACTTATATATAACGTCTGTATATAAAAGTCCGCTTGGGCCCTGGCTCTTAGGTTTTCATCTCCATTTTGTCCGTTGCTGTTTGCAGAGACTGCGATCTCTCAGTTTCTGCATGCGGCTTCGTCTAGTTGTCGTCCTATGGTGGACTAGTTGATTCTCCGAAGCGGTCGTTCTCGGCAGTTTCGGAGGGGTCGTGCCAGGGTTCCGGGTTCCGCTGGTCGAGGTGGGCCATTGGTGCCAGTTTCTGAGCCGTTGTTCCCTTCAGGGCCAGCATCGTCTGGTCAGCGGAGTGATTGCCCTGTTCGACGGTTGGGTTCTCATAAGGGGCGTCTGCCTTTTCGCAGTTTGCCCCGTTGACAGGGCGATGGTGGGGAGCCTCGCCCTGTTTGCCCATGCTTGGTCCCACGATTTGTGGGCCTTTTCGGTCGTGTCATCCGGCCTGCGGTGGCGTTGGGCGACTCATCCTCCTTTGGGGGTTCGGGGCTAACAGGGCAGGTTTCTTCTCCTGTGCTTCGTCAAGTCATCTTGGAGTGGGTGCGCTTGGGCGTGGTCGAAACGACTATGTCCCTCAGGTGGGTTTCCTGTCTGTTTCCAGTGCCGAAATGGGACTGTGTGGATCTGAAGTTCATTCTGGACTTGTCCCGTCTGAACCCCTGGATTCCTTGTCCCTCCTTTCGGATGACTACTCTGTCTCAGGTCCTGCTTCTGTTGGAGCCGGGTGTCTGGATGGTGTCCCTGGACCTCAAGGACGCCTATTGGCACGTTTCTATTCATCCGGGGTTCAGGGACTGGTTAGGTTTCGTGGTGGGGCGTCACGCTTACCGTTTTCGATGCCTACCTTTTGGCTTAAATCTGGCACCTCGCGTTTTCACACGTCTGACCTGGGTTGTGGTGACCTGTCTGCGTCTTCTAGGGATTCGGGTTTTGGCCTACCTCGACGACTGGCTGGTGTGGGCTCCCAGTCGGTCAGCTTGTCTGCTCGCCAGGGATATGGTTCTTTGCCAGCTCGCCAGGTTCGGGTTCTTGGTGAACTGGAGGAAGTCTCATCTGGTTCCGCCCCAGGTTCGGACCTGGCTGGGTCTTGTTTGGGACTCTCGGAACGCTTCCTTGTCTCTCCCTCCAGAGGCATTGCGGCAGCTGCGGGACCGCCGTCGGCTGTTTCTGAGGGGGGGTCCCAGGTCACTCGGCGGTTGCTCAAGCGATTGTGCGGGAGTCTGAACTTCGCTGTGCTAGTCTACCCGCCGGGTCGGGTTTGGCTTCGGCGTCTGTTTTGGTTCCTTCGGGGACGTCCTTTCTGCCTCTCTCGCGATCGTTGGGTTCGTTCTCCGGGGGTCTTGTGTCAGTTGCTGTGTCACCGGCTTCCTCTTCGGGGTTTTCGGGGTTCGGTGCCATGGTGCCTTCCCGAGCCCTCGCTCGATGTGTTCACGGACGCGTCGTCTCTCGGCTGGGGCTTTGTGACCAGTGCTCACCAGGCAGGCCAGGGACGGTGGGGTCCGTCCTTCCGTCGGGCTCACAGCACGGTTCGGGAGTTCGCGGCAGCCTGGTTCGCGCATCGGAGGATTCGGGTCGCTCAGGGATCGACCATTCGCCTCCATTCGGACTGTTCTCCAGTGGTTCATTGCCTGAACCGTGGGGGTTCTCTTCGGTCCTTGGCTCTTTGGGGTTGGTCCCTTCGAGTGGTTCGTCTGCTGGATTCTTGGGGTTTGGCTCTCCGTGCGGTTCATGTCCGGGGAGTGTCCAACGTTCTGGCGGACTGTTTGTCTCGTTTCCATCCCCTGTCCACAGAGTGGACGGTCGATGATGACTCGTTTCGTTGGATCTGCCAGATGTACGGTCTCCCAGATGTGGACCTCTTCGCGTCGGCGTGGTCTCGGCGTCTCCCAATATATGTGACGCCCTTCCCCGACTGCGAAGCATTCGTGGTGGATGACTTTCGGCAGGACTGGTCGAGGTAGGGTTACCTGTACCTCTTCCCCCCGGTCCAGCTGTTGCTTTGGGTTCTGGTTCGGTTGGAGAGATTCCCAGGGAGACTAGTCCTTGTGGCCCCTTGGTGGCCGGCCCAGCCTTGGTTTCCGGTGCTATTGGCTCGGTGCCCGAACCCGGGACATTTCCCATGGCTCTTTCAGCAGGTCGGTCCGATCCAGTATGGGGCTGGTTCAACCTTCTCTGCTCTTCACGTCTGGTCTTTTTGACGCGGGTGTATCACCAATTCTATGGTGATTAGGTGGCTTCGTTGATGGTGTCCCACCTGAGAGCTTCGTCTAGGCAACAGTATGAAGTTTCCTGGCGTTCTTTTCGCCATTTTCTGGCTCTTTGTAGGTTGTCTTTTCTTTCGGATAGGGTTGTCTTGTCCTTTCTTTCTTGGCTTTTTCAGGACCGTCATTTGATGCCTAATACTGTTGCCTCGTATCGTGCAGTGCTGGCAGAGCCGCTCAAGCTAGCTTTCGGGGTGGACGTCACATCCACCCTGTTTTGTAAGCTTACCCATGCTATGTTTCACCTCCGGCCTGCTCATGGGCCTCCTGAGCCGTCCTGGTCCTTGGACAGGGTGCTCTCCTATCTTTCCTCTCCTCGGTTTGTGGTGGCCCCTTCGGTTCCGGATTGTTTTTCCAAGGCTTTGTTTTTTTTAGCATTGGCCTTTGGGGGCCGGGTAGGGGAGCTTCATACTCTCCTCCGGCGCAGGGGTTTCTGCTCTTTTGGTCCTCAGGGTAGGTTTGTCCGTTTGCAGCCTTCTCCATCTTTTCTGGCGAAGAAAGAGACGGCTGCTTTCCGGAGGGGTCCGTGGGTCATTGATGCTTGGTTGGTTCGGCCGGGGGTGCATCATGTGTTGTGTCCAGTTGCAACACTTCGCCGTTACCTACGCGCTTCAGCCGGGGTGGCTGGGGATGCGCTTTGGGTTGATCCGGTTTCCCTCGTTCCCTGTTCCAGGGCTTGGGTCTCCCAGGTTGTCCGCAGGGTTATTAAGTCTAGCCAGCCTGCGGCCTATATTCGCACCCATGACGTTCGGAAGTTTGCAGCTTTGGCTGCCGTGTTTTGTAATATGTCTTGGGCACATATTCGGGCGCGTGGATTTTGAAAGTCGAACAAGGTCCTGGCCGCCCGTTATGTGGTGAACGTCCCTGCTCCTCGGCGTTCTTGTGTTGCTTTGGGTCGCAGGTTGCAGCCAGTTGTCTCGACTTCACGTTGAGGAGTTTGTGGCCACTGCCTCCTGGGTAAGTCCCTATTTTCCTTCTCTTTGGGTATGTAGCTCCAGGGAACCGTAGGGGCTCCCCACAGGAAACCAGCGTTGATTGTAATGAAATGCCATTTTCTGGGTGAGCCCCGGAAGCTCCTTGGCTACCCTCCCTCCCATCCGGTCGGCGAGATTTTTTTCGCGTTGGTTGAAGCCTAGTTTCCGAACTGAAGGCAGCCGGCGTGGTAAGATCCGGGGCCCCCCATTCCCCCTCCCGGGGAGGGGATGGCTGAGCGGACGACCGGCGCAGCAGTAAATTGATTGATTGTTTCCTTGGGATTGTAGGGAGTTTTCTACCTCTCTGTTCGGTTTTGTTGTAGTTTCTTACCATGTGGGGTTTGTTTTGTTACGCCTACCTTTCTGGGTGCCTAACCCCGGTCGATGGCAGATAAGGAAAACCCCCAACCATATGGGGTTTTCCAGGGTCATTGCTCCCTGAAACCTCTCTGAAGGGGCCAGGTTCTGGCGCTGGTCCCTGGTAGGTCTGAACTCCATAGCTAATGTCCCAGTCTAACATAACATACATTAGCCCAATAAGCTCCAGAAAGCCTCCGAGGCTCACCCAGAAAATGGCGTTTCATTACATTCAACGCTGTTTTTTTGAAAATCAGCGCCATTTGTTGCACATAAGAGCAACACCCGCTATACTAAATTATGTTACGATTTCATTTCAATGTTTCTGATTTCATTGATAAATTGAATTTTCATAGATTTTGATTTATTTTCATTTTGATTTAATTATTTTTTGTGACATTGCATTGGAATTGAGCTGTGTTGTTTACCATACCATTCATTTCGTGATTATAGTTAATTTTTGTATTTTGTCATTGTTTTTATTTAGTTTTTAAACTGCTTTTCTTATATTTCAGTGATGGGAACATCAGATCATTTGGGAATGCATCAGACGAGGGAGTGGGGAATGGTGGGGAGGACGAGGGGGTGGGAGCGAGGGATGGTGGGGAGGATGAGGGGACTGGGGAGGAAGTAATGGTGGGGAGGACGAATGGACAGGGGAGTTGGGGATGGTGGGGACAAGGGAACAAGGGAATGGAGAATGATGGGGATGACAAGGGTACAGGGAGTGGGGGATGGTTAGAAGGACAGGGAGAGGAGGGAGTGGGAGATGGTGGAGACGACGAGGGGATGGTGGAGTGGGGAATGGTTAGGAGGACGAGGGGATGGTGGAGTGTGGGGGATAATGGGGGAGGACAAAGGGACGGGGGAGGGAGGAGGAATGGTGGGGAGGACGAGGGGATGGGGGGGGGTGAGGAATGGTTGAGAGGACAAGGGGACGGAGAAGGGGGGGAATGGTAGGGAGGACTGGGAGACAGGGGAAAGGTTGCTGTGGCTCAGCAACGCACATGGGTTGCTGAGCCACAGCAACCTTCCGACAACACAGCTACGCATGGTCGGGTACAGCTAGTATACAATATATATCAATATACAATATACACACATATATGTGTGTATATTGTGTATTAACACCACAAAGAGTATTGTTGGAGGAGAAATATTAGTGCATCTGGCTTTGAACCAGTGAGGGCAGCAGCCACCAGCTGACTGTGTGTTTAGCTACGTCTCTTATTGCAAGAACTCACCATATAAGCTTAGATGTGCAGTTATGGTGAACAAAACATGTAGATACTTATATATAACGTCTGTGTATAGTGAATAAAAGCAAAAACAGTATGGTGGGAGGAGTATGCTGGCGAGTGAGGAGGTGAGGTAGGGAGTGGTGGCGAGTGGCTGGTTGGCTGGTGAATGGTGGCCACTCTTCATTGCTTTTTGACTCACAATACCAACTTAGTGGTTCATTATGGTGAACAAAACATGCAGATACTTATACATGTATATAACCTGTGTATACAGTGTAATAACAGCAAAACTATGTGCTTATTGTTTTATGAACATAATAATTGAATCACTAATATGCACACCATAATTTTAAGTACAGCGATGACTCACACATTTTATTATATAAATATATCACAGTACACACTATTGAATAATATTACTGCAAAAAAACAAAAGAAAAAAAATCAATCGGAGACATTGAAATAATTAGGTAATAATATCTTTGTGGCAACTCCCACCTGACAGCTTGGGTGGAGCTGACCGCCTCTGGCACTTGCCTTGTCAACACCTCTTTTTTTTTTTTTGCCAGACTTCCCCACCCTATTGCGGCTAAAATATGCCATTTATGATTTTTTTATATTTTTCCCGTGATGAGGGAACACAAATGAACATTTTTATAAGACAAAAGAATTTTTTTTATTTTTTTTTTGTTGTGCCATCAAAAATTGCGCCATTTGTTTGGGCGTTGAAGGCCAAAAGGCCCTTAGTGGCCTATGGGTTAACTCTTAAAAAAAAATGCCTTCTAAAATGTTTGGTGAACTTGAGTACTTAGTTTTCACCTGTGTCTTTGTGTGTTTACTTCCCATGTTAGTCAATCCTTGCATGTGTGTGTCCCCTATACTATACTGTAAAAGACTTAACCCATTTCAGGTTCTGCATACCGTGAGATGGTGTCCAACCTCCTGCAGCCAATCATTAGCTCTCCGTCTGTGACGCTTGTACGGTATGACATCCATCACGCTCTGCCCTCAACTGCCAACTCTCTCATTGGCAGAGCTGCTCATATTGCTGTCCTCGATTCAGAACTCTTTATCGAGAAGTTTCTGTTAGTAACAGGACTGAAGTACTTTAAGTAATGGTAGCTTTGTATGTAGCATTTCAGGTATTGATATTTTATATTAGTGACAAGCCTTGAGGGCAACTTTGATATGTATGAATTATGTAAAAATGTAAATATGGAGTTTACATAGGTATCCATAGAAAGTTAATTTCATGTACCTGGATAACACTATTTAACATCCTTGTAAGTTTATCAAGGATACATACTACAAGGACTCGAGAGTCTATTGTTGGGCAAATGTAAACACTAAAATACATTGGCAGCTACACAGAAATTATTGAGACTAACATCTTGGTGTTAGTGTGACAGATTTTAGCAACTAATGTTTAATATTTGCATAACAAAATTGCAATAAAGTTATTATGTATATATTATCTTTATCTAAATTACATTTAATAAATAGCACTTTTTATTGGGTTTCATAAGAATTGTGTGCATATTTTTAAAAGCTTGTTGTTACTTTGGCCAACAAATTCTGGTATTTCTAAAGATATTACATAATGGTGAATTATCATTTATATCAAGAGTGTGTTTATAAGTCAGTACAGTATCTTATGTAATTTCAGTGGGTTAATATCTTTTACTAAATAATGTGGAATATTCATGATGCCAGAAAATTCTTTCTCCATGAGCTGCTAACTCAATTTGTTTGTATTGATTTGTTAAACCTTAGTTTCACAGATTGTGAATCACCCACAAGTGAAATTCAGCTCAAGTGCCAGCTCACATGCCAGTTAAAGTGCCATAGTTTGAGCAATTTTACAAACATTTCTTTGTCAGGGCCAGGATTCATCAGGTATTTATGCAACCACTTATGAAACCTATACATCTTAACTCAATCATGGCAGCTTTGTTACATTCATTAAACAGTTTATGAGCTCTGAAGCTTTACTAGAAAAAGCTGGATATTTTTCTTCAAGAAGACAGACCATCTGGGCTGTAGTGGATTTGTGGCCCTGCGGGTCACTCCAAGTAATAGACTGTTGGACAAAGTTCACACAAGTCAAGCCTGGCCCCGGGCCGGGCTTCGGGAGTAGAACAACTCCCAGAAACCCATTCAAGTACAATCTAGGTGCAAGATTGTGTGTAACATAACCTTGGGTTGTGGTTAGTTGATTTGTGAAGTTTTGTCGCTTGTAAACTGTTTAATACTGTACAGTATATGTAAACAAAGCTGCCATGATCTAGGGAAGAAGTGCAGATTTTGTAGGTGGTTATGAGTAAATGCTTTATGAACCCTGGCTCATGTTTTTATACCAGCATGTTTTACCTCTCAGTTTTTCATATCTTGTTTGGTTTCTCATAACCTACAAGTTATTCACTTGTGCACCTGGCATTATATTTTTTGGCTTTAGAGATTCTCTAGTTTACTGATGATTCAGATGTTTGCTTCCTGCTTGTTGGCACCACCATGGTAAGCCTTAGAGTTAACTACATGTACATTGGTTCCCATGGTTGACTTAACATAATCTTCACTGCATGTTGGTGCCCCTCATTGGTTAAATTTCCATTTAATAACTGCTTGCACATTCCTTAATTTACGAAACCTACACACAGCTGTGCACACGTTGGTGCCACCAGTGTGTTGAAGGTACAAGTCTTAGTTACCTGCACAATGGTACCCTTATTTGTGGGCCTTATGAGGTGTTGGCTACCTGCATATTGGTGCCACTCATTTGCTTAAGTACCAGTTGTTTCAAATAAATTAACTTTTAGTATAAATATGTTCTGAAAGCTGTGAAAAGTTAAATCAGTGCCACTACACTACTATGTAGGAGGTGGAAGCATATGCACAGTATCATTCTCCACTGATACCTCACACAAATAATATTCATCTGGTTTATAGAGCACACAGTTGTAGTGCACAAGTATGAGAATTTTGATCATTTATTCAATTAATACTCTACCACAAGGGGTAAATATTGTTTTTCATAAGATTTGGAGTGTACATGCCTAAGCACAGATGTTGAGTGTTTCATAATGGCTAACAAAAGTTAAATGAATGTAGAAAATAGGTCACAATAATGTAGCTGAAAAACACAATTCACACAAGAAATGAAAGTGATGTCATTTCAGTTTGCCGTGAACCCTTATCCCGACTTGATAAGGGTCCAGGACTGAGATGTCATCACTATCATTTCATGTGTGTGGGTTGAATTAATTAAATGAAAGTGTCACATGTAAGTGTTCAGACCAAAATTTTTCACAGTAGGATGTCAAAATAGGTGAGCGAGGCTGGAGCTCGATGAGAGTTAATTTAACCCTTAAAGTGCGCTTGCCTTAATGGCCTTCAACACAGCCAGGTGCAAGAAATATTTTTTTTTTTTTTTTTTTTTTTTTTTTTTTTTTTTTTTTTTTTTTTTTTTTTTTTTTTTTTTTTTTTTTTTTTTTTTTTTAAGATTGGTAAAATGTGTTCCCTGATCACAGGAAAAATAATAAGAAAATCGTTGGTGACATATTTTGGCCGCAATAGGGTGAGGAAGTCAGGCAAAATTGAGGTGCTGACAGAGTAAGCCTCCCACAGCGGTCTCCAACACCCGCGTTGTCAGGCGGGAGTTGCCACAAAGTTGCCGGGAGTTGCCAAATATTACAGTATTACCTAATTATTTCAATGTCTTATTTTCAATTATTTTCTCTGTTTTTTTGCAGTAATATTTTTCAATAGTGTGTAGTGTGCTATATTTAAATAATAAAATGTGTGAACCATCGCTATACAGTACTCAAAAGTATGGTGTGCATATTAATGATTTAATTATTATGTTCATAAAACAATAAAAAATAGTTTTGCTGTTATTACACTATATACACATGTTATATATAAGTATCTGCATGTTTTGTTCACCATAGCGAACCACTAAGTTGCTATGGTGAGTCCAAACAACAAGAGTTGAGGAACCCAGTCGTCGTGTGAATGAACCCAGTCTTGTGAGTTATCCCAATTTTCTGAGAAAAAGTGAAAGCTGGGCAGTGCTACAAAATTTTATTTGACATTTTCTATGGCGAGCCCTGTTAGCTCCCTGAAGCTATCTTACTGATCAAGTGCCATACTACTTGAGTGTCATCAGTCGCAGAGTTCTTTGTAAGCCTACCTATGAGCCAGAACCTGGCCCCCTCAGAGAGATGCAGAGAGCAGTGGCCCATAAATACTTTACATGTAAAGTATGTCATTTTGCCATCAACCAGGGAAGGCACCCAGATAGGTAGGTGAATCAAAACAGACTACTGCCTGGTTGAAAAATGTGATCTACATTCTCAAAATTGCAAAAGAACTTCCCCATAAAATAAATTAACAATCAAAACTTCATCCAGCTAGCCTCCCGCTCATTAGCTCCACACCCTCCCCCACCTGCACCAGAGGAGGAGGAGCTGGCATGGGTAAGTCAGGCTGCCCCCAGTCAGTTCTTTGACCGATGCTGTGACGAGTGATTGCTGGCGCTCTGGCTCTATGTTCCCGTTTTCTTTGGTGTTTTTGCCTTTGCGGTGGTGTTTTTAACAAATGTGTTTGAGTAGCCAGGAGATTTTTTAAGTACTGGAACAGTATGTGTTTAGGGCCACCTTCCCTGGGTGCTCCATAAGTCCTTGCGTCTCAGGGTTATCTTCCCTGGGGCGTTCGAGGATCACTCCCCATTAGCGGATTTCCTCGCTTGTGGTTGTCCTTGCCCTTGGAGTGTGTCAGGGGCTTTACGCTTTCCATCATGCCCTGGGTAGGGGTGTGCTTGTTGGCTGGTGGGGCACATTGCGGCTGTAGCAGCTTGCTTTTCAGCTCTCAACGGCGTGCCGAATATTCTCTGCTGTCTGCTGTTGTGGAGTTTCGAGGGTCTTATGTGCTTTAACATTTGCTGGCTTTTTTGCCTTTGTTGACAGAGGAGTTCTGATTTTCACCTGATTAGACTTTGCCTAGGGTTTGGTGGAAGTCCATCTCTACTGCCTCCAAGGCTTTTCTGCAGCAGCTTGTGGTTGGATTGACAACACCAACAGGGTTTACCAGCTTAGCTGGCCCCAGTGCCTGAGCTTCCTATAGGAGTCATTTACCCTACAGGCCCTGGAAAATCCCAGCATGCTCGGTTGTACAGTGGAACCTTGGTTTACGAATGCCCCGAATTACGAATTTTTCCATATACAAAGTCAATTTCCTCGAAAAATTTGACTCTCTGTATGAAGTTTGCCTTGGAATACGAGTGTTTGCTGATACACGTATGGGTTGAGCGCATGGGTTTTGCTGGGCGAGGCACACTCAGTTTACCAGTGTATCCCACCTGGTGACGACTGTGTTTGGATTAGTTGTGAAGAATTTCATTGTTTTTCTGCTTTTTTGGTTTCTGAACATAAAAGTTCTTATTATATATCATACCATAGGTCCCAAGAAAGTCATTGGTAAAGTTCAATCTAAGAAAATAGTTATGAGGATGATAATAGAGGAAAAACAAGAGATCATTTGTAAACATGAAGATAGTATACAGGTTGCTGATCTAGCAAGGCAGTACAACAAATTTATGTCAACGATATGCTCCTTAATTGCCAAGAAAATCAGCGTTGAATGTAATGAAATGCCATTTTCTGGGTGAGCCCCGGAAGCTCCCTGAAGCTATCGAACTGATATACAGTGGTACCTTGGTGTACGACTACCCTAGAGTATGAATATTTTGGTATACGACGTCAAATTCATCATAAAATTTGAATTGGTTTACTTGGAAGACAACGTCTGTTGATACACGTATGGGTCGAACGAGCACGTGGTGCTCTCAGTTTGTTTACCAGTGTATCTTGCATAGTGTCGACCGCAACTGCGCTTGAATTCTTTATGAACAATTTCATTTTTTGTGCTTTTTTGTTTTTTTTTTGACATAGAAGCTCTTATTATATATCACGCCATGGGTCCCAAGAAAGTCAGTGGTAAAGTTCAACCTAAGAAAATAGTTGTGAGGATGACAATAGAGAACAAACGAGAGATCATTCGTAAACATGAAAATGGTATAAGGAATGTTGATGTAGAGTAGAGGATGTCCCCTCCTCATTTATTAAGAAAATGTGTTCAGTATGGGAAGAATTGATAAGTTTTGCGGAAAAGTGTCCCCCCAAATTAAGCTGTAGTAGGCCGCTGTGTTAATCTTTTTAATGACAATGTGATGTTTCACTTCAAACAAGTGTTACAATGTAGGGAAAAACAAGTGTCAATAGACAGGTTTTAATGAGACAAACATGCAATGAGCCACAGCCAGGTCCTAGTAGTATGCCTGCAAAACGTATGAGAGAGAGTACCCAGAAAAGTCATCACTGCCTGATGTTATAATGGAAGGGGACTCCCCCTCCAAACACCAACATCTCTAATCCTTCCCTCCTCCTCACCACCGTCCATATGCCAACAAGGTATTATTAAAGGAATGATATACATACTGTATTATAGTCCAAAATGATATCCTTATGATATCCTTATACATACTGTACTGTATAAGTCCAAAATGAGTGGTATTCGGTATAAAATGTATCTTTAAGTTAATATTTTTGGGGGTGTGGAATGGATTAATTCAATTTATATTATTTCTTATGGGAAAATATGTTTTGGTTGACGAAATTTTGGTGTACGACGCGTCTCTGCGAATGGATTAGGATCGTAAATGAAGGTACCACTGATTGCTCGGCATCAGTCAATTGAAGTTCTGATTACCAAGGACCATGAGCCAGAACCTGGCCCCCCTCAGAGAGGCACATGGAGCAATGGCCTATGGAAACCCCCATGTGTTTGGGAGCATTCCATGTCAGCCATCGACCAGGGTTAGACACCCAGAAAGGTAGGTATAACAAAACAAACCCCACCTAGTAAGAAATTGCAACCGAAGACTGAACAGAGACAGAACTTCCCCAAAAACATAAGGAAACAAGCAAATATCATTCACCAATGCCGCGCTGCTTGTCCATGCAGCCCTCCCCTCCCCTCCCCAGGAAGGGAAGGGGGAGCCTCAGACCCAAGCGGAGGGAGGGAGGGTGCCATGGAGGCTCCAGGGCTCACCCAGAAAATGGCATTTCTTTACATTCAATGCTGGTTTTCTGTGGGAAGCCCCTCCGGCTCCCTGGAGCTACCTAACCAAAGACAAGTAAAAGAGGGTCTTACCCAGGGGGCGACCGCCATGCGCACATGAACTCGAAGTCGAGACAACCGGCTGCAACCTGTAACTCAAAGCCACACAGAAACAACCAGGACCAGGAATATTGACCAGATAACGAGCCAGGACCCTGTTCGACTTCCAAAACCCCTGTGTTCGAATGTCAGCTTAAGACATGTTGCCGAACACGACAGCCAAAGCAGCAAACTTACAAACTTCATGGACACAAGGATAGACTGCAGGCTAGCTAGTCTTGATAACCCTGCAGACGACCTGGGAGACCCGAGCCTTGGAACAGGGAACAAAGAAAACTGGATCAACCCAAAGCGCGTCCCCGGCCACAGACGCCAAGGCAGGCAGATAAAGCAAAGAGCCACAACCAGACAACACATGATGCACCCTCGGCCTGACCAACTAAGCACCAATGACCCAAGGGCCCCTCCGGAAGGCTGCCATCTTGTTCTTCGCCAAATAAAAGGGAGACGGCTGCAAACGAACAAACCGACCACCAGAACCAAAAGAGCAGAAAACCCCTGTGCTGGAGGAGAGCATGAAGCTCACCAACTCAACCCCTAAAGGCCAATGCCAACAGAAACAGAGCCAAGGAAAAAAATCTTGAACTGAAGGGGCCACCACAAACTGAGGAGAAAAGAAAAAAGAGAGCACCCTGTCCAAGGACCAGGATGGCTCAGGCAGCGCATAAGCAGGCCAGAGCTGAAACAAAGCATGAGAAAGCTTGCGAAATGGGGCCGAAGCGATATCCATCCTGAACGCAAGCCGGAGCAGCTCCGCCAGTGCCACATGATAAGGGGCGATAGTATTGGGCATCAAAAGACTGTCCTGAAAAAGCCAAGAATGAAAGAAAGGACAAAACAACCCGATCGGAAATAGAAGACAACCTAGGAAGAGAGAGAAAATAGTGAAAAGAACCATAGGAAATTTCAAACCGAGATGAAGCTCACAGGTGGTACACCATCAAAGAATCCACCTAATCACCATACAAGTGGTGATATACATGCATCAAAAAGACCAGATATGAAAAGCAAAGGAGTAGACCGAACCAGCCATGTACCAGATCGGACCAATCTGCTGAAAGAGGCTGAGCTGTGGAAAACGCCCCGGGGTCAGACACCGAGCAAGCAGCGCCTGTGGTAAGACTCCAAAAAGAGCCAGAACCTGAAGCAACAGCTGGATCGGAGGGAAGAGGTACAGGTAACCCA